GCACCCTCAGCGCCAACACCCCCAGCAGCTCTAGCTCCAGCCGGACCACCAGAAGATGCAGTAGGTCCACCAGCTCCAGCGCTAGACGCATCCGCAGGCCCAGCAGCTCCAGTACTCCCAGTACGAGCACCTCCGGGACCCGCGGCACCAGTACCCTCAGAAGCAGTAGAACCTCCAGCACCCGCAGTACCTCCAGCTCCAGCAGTACGCCTCCAACGCCGGGCAAACCACTCACGCAGCTCCTGTGGAGAGAGTAGCTCCCGCCGGGACGAAGCACCCGAAGAACCTCCAGGCCCAGCACCGCCAGACGCCACACGAGCAGGTCCAGTACCCTCAGACTCCGCACCCCTAGACGCAGCACCCCCAGGCTCAGAACCCCCAGGCGTAGCACCCCCAGGCTCAGCACCCCTAGGCTCAGCACCCGCAGGCGCAGCACCCCCATAGTCAGCACCCCCAGGCTCAGCACCCCCAGAGTCAGCACCCCTAGGCTCAACACCCCCAGAGTCAGCACCCCCAGACCCAACACCCGCAGGCTCAGCACCCATAGCAACACCAGAGTCAACAGGAAAGTCCGAGCCGAAACTCTCTCTAAGCTGGAGACGAGCTGCGCGGATCCAGGCGATCAACACCTCGGTGACCTCACCCTTGCTGCGCAAAGGGAAGACTGCCGTGTAACGCGAGTAGTCGTCAACCACCAGCAGGAAGTAACGCTCGTGACCCTGTCCACGGACGTGGGCTGGGCCCCACACGTCCATGTGAAGCGTCTGTAGCGGAGCCTCTGTCGGAGCAAACTCGGAGGAGTGAGGAGCAGCGCGCTGCCGCCCCTCGACGCAGGGAACGCAGGTGGGGGCAGGCCCCAGAGGAAGGGGAGGGAGGGACCGGGGGAGACCAGAGACAAGGACACGGGAGGCCATGCCTCGAAGGCGAGGCAGGGAGGGGTGACCAAGGCGGCGGTGCCAGAGGAGAGTCTTGTGATAGAGGAGACGACACGAGCAGGGGGCAGACTCAGGACCAGACCTGGACGCCGCAGCAAACACCTGACCCGACGCGGCTACCTGATCAGACTCAGCGACCGAAGGAGACTCAGTAGTCAGTGTGTACAGGCTCGGCCCCGGCTGACGGGTAAACGTGGCCAAGTGACGGCCCGTCCGAGCACAGGTACGGTGGGTCACTCGCCGACTCGCAGGAGTGAACTGGTGAACCCCTGCATCCTGGAGGTAAGCACCCCTCACCAAGTTGGTAGAGAACGAGTGGAGGTAAAGACCTGATAGGGTGCCAGAAGGGGCCGCCGGACACGGTAGGACAGTGGAGAAGTGGGCAAGGACAGGACCCCCAGAGGGGTCTGCCAGGCAGACTGCCACTGGCCGGCGAAGCGGCATGAGCGTGGTGCGGTCTCGAAAGAAGGAGCGGGAAGCACCCGAGTCAAGGGTGAAGGTGTGGGCGGCCGGAGCCGACTCGGTACCTGAGAGCGCAGACTCACCAGCACCTGGGGCAGCAGACTCACTGGCACCTAGAGCAGCAGCCTCACCAGTACCTAGAGCAGCAGCCTTACCAGTACCTAGAGCAGCAGCCTCACCAGTACCTAGAGCAGCAGCCTCACCAGTACCTAGAGCAGCAGCCTCACCAGCACCTAGAGCAGCATCCTCAATGTCCGGGTCAGGCGGAACACACAGGTAAAAGGTACCCCCATCACTAGTAGGCAATGCATATATGGCAGTGAGAATGGCATCATAGTCAAGACCATAGATATCTACCCTCTGCCCAAGCAGCTGCACCCAGTCGGGGAGCTCAGCCTCGTCGCCAAACTCCGTACGCCAGGCGTCGCTCAGGCGGGCGAAGCAGCGGGACTCCGTGTGACGAGGCGTCCCGCAGGGCTGGCCAGTCCGAGCACCAGTGCGAATGACGTACGGACAGCGAGCAGTACCACGTGACCCTCCAAGCTGAGCGTACTACTCACGAAGCTGCTAGGGCGAAAGGACCGCGCGCGGACGACGCGACACCTGCACCTGGGCACGCGAAGCAGCTCCCGAACTACTCACTCCAGGACGACTCCCACTGCGGTCACCCCGACAACCCCAGGTAGCGTACCACTCACGAAGCTGCTCGGGCGAAAGGACCGCGCGCGGACTACGCTGCAGCTGCACCTGGCCACTACAAGCAGCTCCCGAACCACCCACGTCAGAACGACTCTTACTACGGCCACTCTGACAACCCCAAGTAGAGTACCACTCACGAAGTTGATGGGGGGTGAGGGACTCACGCGGACGGCGCCGGAGCTGCATCTGCCTAGGCCAGGAGAAGTAGCAGTAGTAGCAATAGTAGCAGTAACAACAGGAACAGCTGTGCTCACCAGTGGCAAGAAGGGTAGGAGTAAGACAGCGGCAGAGGTGAGGCTGCCAGTATCGTAGGGCGAGGGCACCGCAGCTGCTTCAGGGACTGCTGCTCCAGAGACCAGGGGCAGCTGCAGCAGTGGCAGCGGCTCCAGGGTCCAGGGTGCTGCGGCAGACAGGGGCGGCGGCGGCTGAAAGTGTCAGCTACGTCGGCGGCTGCGGCTGTCGGCTGCGGCGGCTGCTGCTGACCGCGGTGGCAGCTGCCACGGTAGTGGTGGCGGCGGCTGCTGCTGTCGGAGGTGGCGGCTACTGCAGTCGAGGCAGGGGCAGCGGCGGCGGACACGGTAGTGGCGGCGGGGGCTGCTGCCGTCGCCGATGGCTGCGGCAGCTGCTGTCGGCGGCGGCAGCGGCTGCCGTCGGTGGTGGCAGCTACTGTGGCCGGGGCAGGTGCGGCGGCGGCTAAGGAGGGGGCGCGGCGGGCCACAAGGGTGGGCAGCGAGGCGCCGCGAGGGCGGCGCGACGGGGCCGCGAGGGTCCGCTCAGGGGCCGCGAGGGGCCGCGAAGGCGGCGCGACGGGGCCGCGAGGGCGGCGCGGCGGGGCCGCGAGGGCGGCGCGACGGGGCCGCGAGGGCGGCGCGACGGGGCCGCGAGGGCGGCACGACGGGGCCGCGAGGGCGGCGCGTCGGGGCCGCGAGGGCGGCGCGACGGGGCCGCGAGGGCGGCGCGACGGGCCGCGAGGGCGGCGCGACGGGGCCGCGAGGGCGGCGCGACGGGGCCGCGAGGGCGGTGCGACGGGGCCGCTAGGGGCCGTGAGAGGGGCCGTGAGAGGGGCCGTTAGGGGCCTAGGGGGGCCGTGAGAGGGGCCGCTAGGGGCCGTGAGAGGGGCCGTGAGAGGGGCCGCTAGGGGCCTAGAGGGGCCGTGAGAGGGGCCGCTAGGGGCCGTAAGGGGGCGCGACTCGGGCAGGGGCTAAGCGCGCTACGAGCAGGAAAAAAAAAATCGATATTTGGTGGGCCCTGGGAAAAGTTCCCACTAGGGAACCTGCTCTTATACCATGAGAAAACTAGAACGAGAATGAATGACTAAGGAATGAAAGTGATACAAATGTGAAACCCTAGAATTGTGTACCCCTTAGTGTTTAACCCGCTACAGCCTACACAGGCGATTTTGAAGTTCAGAGAGGTGCAAAGTTTTTTGCTGCGTTTTCGTGAGATATAGGTGGGGTGCAGTGAGGTAAGATTTGAGCTGGATTACTACCACCAGCCGTATGTTCTGCCTCAACACCCGCTTCAGAGCTTTGACCCAGCTTACCCTCGCTCTCTTGTTAGAGTGGTTAGATACAGGAAAGCAAATGCGGGTTTCTTTCCAAAACCGCAAACGTTCGACTCGTTCTGCCGCGCGATGCTGGCGTCACCGCAAGTTTCGCTCCTTCTCCCCTCTCCTCGCAATCGCCGCCCGATCTCGCGGCGCCTTTCTCCATGCTACATGTGAACCGAACATCCGCTAATCCTTACGGGTCACTCTATAGCGAGTCAATTGCTGCGTCCCTGCTCAGTGTCACAACCGAAGCATGCCTCGAATTGGCAGGCTCCACATGGCATCAGGAGTCCAGGCGGCCTCATCGTCGTTCTTCGCCTGCTTGTGGTAACCGGCGCGCAGTTCCTCTCGCTCGTCGCCGTCGCCAACGCCGCCGTGCCAACATGCTCGAGCCTCGCAGCTCAAGGTACGACTCCTCATTGCGACGTCTCAAAACGGGTACTAGCCTCGCAGCTCGAGGACCTGATTCTTGCCACGTCTCGAAGTAGCCTCGCAGCCAGCCAAATCCGAGTGGCTTTTATCAATTCTCACAAGCGTCGCAGCTCTCTCTCTCTCGGAAGCACGTGGCGTTTGCCTCGCGGCACAACGTCGCAGGGGACCTAAGAGACCGCCTAGGTAGTTGGAGGATTATCGATCCGATCGTCGCAATTCTCCGGAGGAGTTACCAATCAACGATTGCAACCCAATCGTCGACGAGGAAATTGCCGCGAATGATTACACGCCTCTCGCCAATGTTTTCGCCAGACAGCCACACCCAACCAATACCGCCAGTAGCTGCAAATGGCGGCATGCCCCCGCCTTCTGAGAGTAGTCATCGCATCATCCCGTCTCTTCCGCCTTCCTTTGCCACCTAGCCTTCCGTTCCGCCCACACGCCGACTCTCACCCCCAACCACTTCAGCGGCGAGTCTGCTGCACTACCCTCCGCCCACCTCTGCTGTACTAACCCAAAATCTCCCATCCCTCACACTCCCCTTTCCCCCTTGGCCCAGTTGCTGTTCCCCACCTCCCCTGTCAGATATATCTTTCACCTGCTTTATTCTCCCTCCATCGCTCCCCCTCCCTCCCTCCCCACCATCTTCACACCCCTCCCTGGCCCTCCTCCCTCCCACCCCACCGCCCCCAGCTCCCTCGTTGAACCTCCTGCGCAATGCGGGCTTCAAGGAAGCTTCCAGTGCAGCGGACTGGCCGTCGCCCCTGTCGTCGTGGGTGCCTCTGTTCCCTGGCGCCAGCACGGGCCCTTCTCCTTCCACCTCCCACCCTCCTCCGCCGCCGCCGCAGCTCTCTCCTCCCCGCTGCAAGGCGTTGCACTGCACGTCGTGCTGCTGGAAGGAAAGGGGGCGGAAAGCAGCACCACTACGCCCTCTGGTGTGCCCGCTCCTGTTGGCCTGCCCGCTCCCGTTGGCTTGCCCGCTCCCGTTGGCCTGCCCAATCCCGTTGGCTTGCCCGCTCCCATTGGCCTGCCCGCTCCCGTTGGCTTGCCCGCTCCCGTTGGCCTGCCCGCTCCTGTTGGCCTGCCCGCTCCCGTTGGCCTGCCCGCTCCCGTTGGCCTGCCCGATCCCGTTGGCCTGCCCGCTCCCGTTCCTCCTTTGGCGGTGACTGGGGCTGCCTCCGTCCCATACCGCATGGGTTGGTAGTCAACGTGTCGGCATCTGCCAACAAGAGCTGCAGTAGCGTGTATACCACCAGCCGGGTGAGCAGCGTGTATACCACCAGCCGGGTGAGCAGCGTGTATACCACCAGCCGGGTGAGCAGCGTGTATACCACCAGCCGGGTGAGCAGCGTGTATACCACCAGCCGGGTGAGCAGCGTGTATACCACCAGCCGGGTGAGCAGCGTGTATACCACCAGCCGGGTGAGCAGCGTGTATACCACCAGCCGGGTGAGCAGCGTGTATACCACCAGCCGGGTGAGCAGCGTGTATACCACCAGCCGGGTGAGCAGCGTGTATACCACCAGCCGGGTGAGCAGCGTGTATACCACCAGCCGGGTGAGCAGCGTGTATACCACCAGCCGGGTGAGCAGCGTGTATACCACCAGCCGGGTGAGCAGCGTGTATACCACCAGCCGGGTGAGCAGCGTGTATACCACCAGCCGGGTGAGCAGCGTGTATACCACCAGCCGGGTGAGCAGCGTGTATACCACCAGCCGGGTGAGCAGCGTGTATACCACCAGCCGGGTGAGCAGCGTGTATACCACCAGCCGGGTGAGCAGCGTGTATACCACCAGCCGGGTGAGCAGCGTGTATACCACCAGCCGGGTGAGCAGCGTGTATACCACCAGCCGGGTGAGCAGCGTGTATACCACCAGCCGGGTGAGCAGCGTGTATACCACCAGCCGGGTGAGCAGCGTGTATACCACCAGCCGGGTGAGCAGCGTGTATACCACCAGCCGGGTGAGCAGCGTGTATACCACCAGCCGGGTGAGCAGCGTGTATACCACCAGCCGGGTGAGCAGCGTGTATACCACCAGCCGGGTGAGCAGCGTGTATACCACCAGCCGGGTGAGCAGCGTGTATACCACCAGCCGGGTGAGCAGCGTGTATACCACCAGCCGGGTGAGCAGCGTGTATACCACCAGCCGGGTGAGCAGCGTGTATACCACCAGCCGGGTGAGCAGCGTGTATACCACCAGCCGGGTGAGCAGCGTGTATACCACCAGCCGGGTGAGCAGCGTGTATACCACCAGCCGGGTGAGCAGCGTGTATACCACCAGCCGGGTGAGCAGCGTGTATACCACCAGCCGGGTGAGCAGCGTGTATACCACCAGCCGGGTGAGCAGCGTGTATACCACCAGCCGGGTGAGCAGCGTGTATACCACCAGCCGGGTGAGCAGCGTGTATACCACCAGCCGGGTGAGCAGCGTGTATACCACCAGCCGGGTGAGCAGCGTGTATACCACCAGCCGGGTGAGCAGCGTGTATACCACCAGCCGGGTGAGCAGCGTGTATACCACCAGCCGGGTGAGCAGCGTGTATACCACCAGCCGGGTGAGCAGCGTGTATACCACCAGCCGGGTGAGCAGCGTGTATACCACCAGCCGGGTGAGCAGCGTGTATACCACCAGCCGGGTGAGCAGCGTGTATACCACCAGCCGGGTGAGCAGCGTGTATACCACCAGCCGGGTGAGCAGCGTGTATACCACCAGCCGGGTGAGCAGCGTGTATACCACCAGCCGGGTGAGCAGCGTGTATACCACCAGCCGGGTGAGCAGCGGGAAATCCGAATACAGTATAACGAATATTGTATACCAGTGTGCTGTTTGGTTTTAGTGTAGTCCTCTTTATAAGCCTCCAGCTCCTACAATAATTGTCACAATTATTGTAGGGCCAGAATTATTGGAGGTCAGCATTATTAGAGGGTAGAGGGTACAATTATTGGTACACCATTATTGGTGTGAATGAGTCATTCTGGAGGGGTAGCTGGATGCATATATACCCTGCTGTGTCACATCATTTGAGTAATCATTGTGTCATCCTTTTACTTTTCAATGATCAATGCAAGATTTCTATCTTGTTCTTTTCTACAAACACGTTTCCGCTACGCTGGCACTATGCCTTTCTAGCATGGTATCAGAGCTACTCTAGGGGGCATGCTGCCAAAACAGGTTCAAAAATTTACTGGCATTCACTTCGGATAGGTTCCTGCATACAGTCAGAGTACCGCACACTCGGTCTACTCTTTCGTACACCTAGTGTTCGCTGCTGGTTACAACCGCGCGTTTACCGCATACTTGGTGGACGGTTTTGTCAAGGTCATGGCGCACTTCGATGGCGAAGTGGATGCTGGATATGCAGCTTTTGAAGAAGCCATCATGGCTCAGCATGAGCACCTGGAAAGCATGATTGCAAGGGCACCACCAGCGCTCCAAGCTTCGTTAAGGGACAAGTTTGGAATTTCAATCCAGCCAAGGACAATGTTCTCTCATGACTCCAGCAATCCATCTACCCGTGGACATTCTCATTCAAGCACTCCGCGTACTAACCAAACTCGTGCAAATGTTCATGCAGGAATTGATGGTGAAAGGGAAATGGGCATACCTCAAGGAGGAGAGTCATCCCAAGGGAGGGATGCATTCGTCCAAGGAGAGGAGAGCGCCAATCCCACACCTCAATCATCCATGCAAAGGGAAGCACGGGGGAGGAATGATGAGTATGGGAGTGCAGTGCATGGTGGAATAAGAAGTGGACAGATTGGGCAGCAGGGTGACGGAAATGTTCAAGTGGGCGTGGAAGGTGTGGGTTTTGCCTCCTACACTATTGGTGCTCCCCCACTACGAAGACTTGCGACTAACTCCCATCCCATTGGAGTTCCTCCCATGGCCAGGTCTCACCTTCATGGCGGCTATGAGATACCTCCGCGTGCACCACGTCCACCGATAGGAGTACATCCTGTGGACAGCATCGGGCGCATGGGGCACGGGATGCAATCAAGTGGAGTTATGCGACGTGACCAAGTGGAGGTGGTGGAACGTGAAGGGACACAACGCACGGTGCAACTACCTCGACCATCTACCGTGCCTACGCTCTTCGACCCGTCTCCTTGCGAGTACACCGAAGGAGATAAAGACAGGCTGTCACGCAAAATGGTGGGAGCCACGGTGGACAAGGCGTTCACAACAACCCCGTTCGACGGCACTAACTTTCGAGAGTGGGCTCTTTGATTTCGCATGAATGCGCGCGTGACAAATCTGTGGGAGTTTTTCGTGACACTACAATACCCAGTGACAATGGCGAATGGAGAAATGCGAGATGCAATGGAACAGCTGGAAGCTTTGCAAGCAGATTACTCACAACGTGCTACGCTGGCGTTTTGGGTGCTTCTACATAGCGTAAGCGCAACAATTCAACTACAGCTGGACGTGTTCCAAGAGTCATACAGTCCAGCATTCGAAGCATGGGAGTACCTGATGGAGACTTACCAGGCGAAGGATTCGGTGGCAAAGGCGTCTCTCCAAAGACAATTGGACAACCTGAAGATGGGGAGCCAAGAAAGGGTGGAGGAATACATCAACCGGGCAACTTCAATTCGAGACAAGTTAGCACTCGCGGGGAAGATGGTGGATGAGGACACATTCACCTTAAATCTGCTCACCGGACTACCAGCGCAATGGGAGGAGATGAGGCACTCGGCAATGCTACACAACGTGATGGACAGCTTCACCTTGCAGCGGATGATGATTCAGGAGCAGAGGTATTACGACCTCATCACAAAGGATAACCGTGACCGGCGTCCACCTCGCATGGTTGGACAAGCACGTGGAGACCGCTCACCTTCTCCAACTGCTAAGGGCAATAACGGGAAGGAGGGGTCAATTGGGGAGAAAACGCATGGCAAGGATGGAGATGCAAGTCGCTCATCTCTCGTGTGTTGGTACTGCAAGGAGCCTGGCCACCCCTTCTTCAAGTGTACCAAGGCACCCCCTGGGTGGACACCACCAGGGTGGGAACCGCATACCCGCGGAAAGGCAAAACTGCACACCAGCGACAGCCGTTCGTCCTCCCCACGAAGGAGTTGCAGCCGCAAGCGTGACAACAATGCATCAAAACAGCAAGGGGCAGCCGGGGAAGACAAACAACGTACTGTTACGTGCATTGCAATGGTGGGATCGTCACAAGCTACCTTACCGCCAGCTAAAGCGTCATCTTGGATGCTGGATAGTGGATGCAGCCAGCACATGACTTCGGACAAGAGCTGGTTTGAAGAGTTAAGGGAGCTGGAAGAACCTGTTTATGTGGAGCTTGCTAATGGGAGCGAGCTGAGCAGCAAGATGACAGGAACGATCAGAGCAACGGCACCTAATGGGACAACAGTTCGGTACACTGACGTCCTCTACGTACATGGCTTGAAGAGTAACCTGCTCTCCTATTGCCAGCTACTGAAAAAGGGAGCACGCATCAATACCATTGCTAATGGAGACACCGAGATCACCATGACTGATGGAGAGGAGTACGTGCGGATTGGACTTGCCAAGAACGTGGATGGAGTGCTCGTGGTGCAGTATGCGCATGCACTTACATCCGCCCATGATCCTGGACATTCCCATGATGGTGCGTCATCAAAGAAGCATGATTGTGAAGGGCATACACGTTTCTGCACACCTGGAGTACACTTGGGTACCCACGGGAGCACGCTTTCCCGCACACATGGAGTGCAGTTGAGTGCCCGGTCTGCACACGCATCCCTTCAGTACCGCATGGCACACAAAGCATGCATCGTGCGCAAGCCGGCACATGATGATACCAATAATGAAGTCTTACCCCAATGTGTGGTGTGGACTTCAGGGGGAGAAGGAAAAAGGTCCGCGGTGAATGGCGATGGAGCGGACCCTGTAGAACAGGACTCACCTGCAGCTGATGAAGTTGATGCAACCCAAGGAAGCGGAGATGCTGCAGCAGATGGCTTACCTGCAGCAGGAGTGATTGTACCCAAGGAGGTTGAAGACAATGGTGCGGAAAACACTGTGGGTTGTGGAACAACGGGCGTACCATCTACTGATGATCGCCAAGTCAAGGAGTCTGGAGTTGTACTCACGTGTGCGGCCTCCTCGAGCTGTGCTGCACACCATGGCATCACCTAACTCCATACTCACTCATGTGCTTGTAGCTGTGTATGCGGAGGACTACAAGCGCATGGGTGGGGGGGGTTGAGGTGTGGAGTGTATCTGGTGGCACAGGAGTGGGATATGGAGTCAAGGTGCATAAGTGGAAGACCTACTCACCAAGGGTTGCCAATAGGCAGGGGGAGCAGGCAGAATGGATGCAGCCGGTCGTCATCCGTTATGAAGCAGTAGTATCGTGCGACTGGTTGCTGCTGATGAACGGCACAACCGCGAGGGAAGAACGGAGAATCTACATGGGAGAAAATATTTCTGCATACCTGGTGTGGACACTGTTGCATACATGGTGTGCACATTTCTGCATACCTGGTGTGCACTACATACTTAAAGAGGACGTTTCTGCATGTATGGGATACAGTTTTCTGGGATACTTGGAGTTCGTCGGCATGCGCAACCCTCGAGCTGATGAAGTTCGGCAACTCCGGCTACTACCGTGTGTCGACTGGAGTGTATGGGGAGCATCACACGACAACATAGGTGAAGTTTGAGCAAACTTGGCATGATTGCCAAAGCATGGGGAGAAAGGCCTACGAAGATGCAGCAAGCGCGGATACGAAAATGATGCAGCAGACGCGCAACAGATCGACAGCTGCTGATGAACGACAAGTCATCGCTTCTATCGCGCGAAGTGTGCGCCCGCCAATGCAGTTCCGCGCCAGCCGTATGCCATGCGTTATCCGCTACCGATTTGCGACATCCGCAGCTGCACTCGTCGCAGACACGCATCCACTACGGTTTCGTGTCGTCGCACAGGAGGCGTGCGAAAAAGACAGCTGCACTAACAATCGCGTGTCGTAAAGTCTACGGTTTCGAAAATTCGGCGTGCGCTCAGGGCATTCCGCCATGAAGATACGCGCATTCCGCCATGGTTTTGAGGAGATTACGCCATGGAGGTGCTACGATTTCCTCAGCAGCAACCATTACTCTCTAGATCTCGATCTAGAATGAGGAGATTGGAAGGAGGGAATGGAAAACGTGAAGGCATGTGATTTGGTTGAAGTTTGGAAGGCCCAAAGATTGGGAGGGGAAAAGTGCTACAGTGACAAGCAGCTTGGCCAACACCAAACCCTAACTTGGTTTGGGCGCACCCCTACCTTGTGGTGGTATACCACCTCGACCACCCCATCCTCCAAGGAAAACGGATTCACTAAAACCTACAGCAAAGGGGAGTGTTGGAAATCCGAATACAGTATAACGAATATTGTATACCAGTGTGCTGTTTGGTTTTAGTGAAGTCCTCTTTATAAGCATCCAGCTCCTACAATAATTGTCACAATTATTGTAGGGCCAGAATTATTGGAGGTCAGCATTATTAGAGGGTAGAGGGTACAATTATTGGTACACCATTATTGGTGTGAATGGGTCATTCTGGAGGGGTAGCTGGATGCATATATACCCTGCTGTGTCACATCATTTGAGTAATCATTGTGTCATCCTTTTACTTTTCAATGATCAATGCAAGATTTCTATCTTGTTCTTTTCTACAAACACGTTTCCGCTACGCTGGCACTATGCCTTTCTAGCAGCGTGTATACCACCAATCGGGTGAGCACCGTGCATACCACCAGTCGGGTGAGCAGCGTGCATACCACCAGTCGGGTGAGCAGCGTGCATACCACCAGTCGGGTGAGCAGCGTGCATACCACCAGTCGGGTGAGCAGCGTGCATACCACGAGTCGGGTGAGCAGCGTGCATACCACCAGTCGGGTGAGCAGCGTGCATACCACCAGTCGGGTGAGCAGCGTGCATACCACGAGTCGGGTGAGCAGCGTGCATACCACGAGTCGGGTGAGCAGCGTGCATACCACGAGTCGGGTGAGCAGCGTGCATACCACCAGTCGGGTGAGCAGCGTGCATACCACCAGTCGGGTGAGCAGCGTGCATACCACCAGTCGGGTGAGCAGCGTGCATGCCACCAGTCGGGTGAGCAGCGTGCATGCCACCAGTCGGGTGAGCAGCGTGCATGCCACCAGTCGGGTGAGCAGCGTGCATGCCACCAGTCGGGTGAGCAGCGTGCATGCCACCAGTCGGGTGAGCAGCGTGCATGCCACCAGTCGGGTGAGCAGCGTGCATGCCACCAGTCGGGTGAGCAGCGTGCATGCCACCAGTCGGGTGAGCAGCGTGCATGCCACCAGTCGGGTGAGCAGCGTGCATGCCACCAGTCGGGTGAGCAGCGTGCATGCCACCAGTCGGGTGAGCAGCGTGCATGCCACCAGTCGGGTGAGCAGCGTGCATGCCACCAGTCGGGTGAGCAGCGTGCATGCCACCAGTCGGGTGAGCAGCGTGCATGCCACCAGTCGGGTGAGCAGCGTGCATGCCACCAGTCGGGTGAGCAGCGTGCATGCCACCAGTCGGGTGAGCGGCGTGCATACCACCAGTCGGGTGAGCAGCGTGCATACCACCAGTCGGGTGAGCAGCGTGCATACCACCAGTCGGGTGAGCAGCGTGCATACCACCAGTCGGGTGAGCAGCGTGCATACCACCAGTCGGGTGAGCAGCGTGCATACCACCAGTCGGGTGAGCAGCGTGCATACCACCAGTCGGGTGAGCAGCGTGCATACCACCAGTCGGGTGAGCAGCGTGCATACCACCAACCAGGTGATTCTATGTGCTATGGGTGGGGGTTGTTGTTGTCACTTTGTTTTGTAGTATTGATTGTCTTGTTGAAATGTGCAGTTTCGATTTCTTCGTTTTTTTTCTTTGTATTTTATCAGCACTAACAGAAAGCCCAAAGCATCTGATTGGGTTTGCATAACCCACGTTTTGCCCTCTCACGCACACACACACACCCATCTGTCTCTCGGCCCCACCAACTCATCCCAGGGTGACACGTGCATGTCAATAAACAGCATCCTTGACACCAACATAACTCAACTAAGCCGTAACATTGACTGCTCACAACCTCTTGTCCCTCCATTCCATTCTGTTACCACCAATCCAATTGTTCCACGTTCCATTCTCTTTGGATTTAGAAGCTACCATGGTTGGGTTCATGTACACAGTACATTACACTACATCCCCCGAAAATAACATTTTTGTGGTTGTGTACATGATATTCCACCCCTGTCCTCCAAAATAGTCAAGAGATGAAGGTTCTGCTTTGTGTGTATTGTTTTGCAAAAAACCTTCATCTCTTGAGATCTACGAACTTGTATTGTGTTTTGCAATAGTGTTGTGGCTGCTCACTGCCGAGCCTTTGTCTTGAGAGGGAACTTGGAATGTGGGCAGGCAGCAGACCCCACCCCACCTTTCCAGTGCCTCACCATGTCTTGAGCTGCCTCAACACCACATTCTCTTCTCTCCCACACAACCCTACGTTGGCAGATACGCGTATCACGTATAATACGCTAGCGTATTAAACGCTGGGTATATACGCCATACGCCATGGCTGGCGTACTGCTGATACGCTAAAATACGCTGGGCGGGCAGGAAAAAATCTTTTCCCGGGCAGATTTCGCCCTCGAACTGTAGGGAGTAGGGGTCGCCATGGCGAGGAAGTACTAAAGCTAGGAGAGTTTGAGCTCGACGAGAGTCGGACGAAATGAAAGATGAGAAATGCGGGATTGAATGAAAGAGGAGCTGTTTAGGGATTGAGATGTTCGAACGAGTGAAAGGGGGGAGGTTGGGTTTGGGAGGTTGAGAGGGGTGGTGTGTGGTTGGGGATGTGGGAGGGGTTGAATTTTGAATTTCGAATTGCAGACAGGAGTTGGGCTCTGTGCGAGGTCGAGGGTTCAATTCTCGCTGTCGCAAATGCTTGCAATTTTTTATGGAGTTTTTTTTTTTTTTTTTTTTTTTTTTTTTTTTTTTTTTTTTTTTTTTTTTTTTTTACCGGGCTGCCTTGGCGTATTTTAGGGTTTCCAGGCGTATTAGCGTATTGCGTACATACGCTAGCGTATATACGCAATACGCCCACCCCCCAAGGGCGTATCTGCCAACGTAGACACAACCCCCCCCTCCTCCCCTCGCCATCCCCTTCCCGTTCCCCTCCCCCCCTTCCCCCTCCCCCTCCCCCTCCCCTCCCCCTCCCCCTCCCCCTCCCCCTCCCCCGCCCCCTCCCCCTGCCTCTGCATCCTCCCTACACCGCGTGTGTGTGTGGAGAGCAAGTCCAACGCCTGCACCTTTCCCGGGGCCGCCTGCATGGTGGACGCATGAGCCCCTCCCTCCATATCCTCCTCTCCTTTCCCTCCCTCCCTCTCCCTTTCCCCATCAATTTCCCCCTTCCCTTCCCCCCCTCCCCCTCCCCCTGCCGCCCCATCCTCCCTGCAGCGTGTGTGTGTGGGGAATGGCTCATTACCCGCACTACCCTGTAGCGGCCTGCATGGAGCACAAGGCTCTCCAGCCCGACCTGCACACGTGCCAGCAGGCCGTCGCTATCGGCAATGGGCAAGGCCGCATGGGCTACTCCAAGCTCTTCCGCGTCAATTCCGCCCTCTACTACGACCAACTGCTGCTCGGTGCAGCTGGGTGGGACGACTCTGTTCTCGACACGGTGAGCTCTTTTGACTTGCACATGAAAGTTGTTTCTGTTGTGTGATGTGCTGAGTGCATCTGAGCCTTTTTTAAGCGTCTTCGATTCTTTTTGGCTCTTTCCTGCCACCACCTGCTGCCCTGTGCTGTGGGCTATCGCCAGGCCCGCGCGTGGCCCGTACGGGCTGCGCCAGGCCCGCGCGCGGCCCGTATGGGCTACGCCAGGCCCGCGCGCGGCCCGGGCAGCCCGCGTGCGGTTCGTCCCGAGCTTCTGACCGCGCCCCACCCCCACTGCTGCCCGCGCTCCTGTGTTAGGGTTTAGGGGTGGATAGTATGGGGGTGCTGGGTGTGTGAGCCGTCCCCTGCTCCTCCTACTCCATCTCCCACTGCTGCAGCTGCCGCTGAGGAGGTGGGATATGTTGGAGCCGTCGGAGTGGTATGAGGGGGGTGGCGTGTGAGCAGTGCTAGAGGTACAGCAGGGAGTGTGTGAAAGGGGTGTGGGACAGTCGGGGGAGGTTGACCGGAGGTAGCCGACTTGTCGTCCGCAGCGCTTGAAGTCCAGAGAGCCACGACCCCCTGTACCCTGAGTAGTCCGGGGTTCTGCGCCCGGTAGCCACAGTGTGAGCACTCCTGGTAGTCCAGAGAGCCACGATCCCCTGTGGCCTGAGTAGTCCGGGGCTCTGCGCCCGGTAGTCACAGTGTGTGCACTCCTGGGAGCACAGTGAGCCAGCTGCGTCTGTCGTCGTGTAGTCAGGGTTTAGCCTGGTAGCGACAGTGCTGCGCACTCCTGCTGCCTGTGTGTCTGCAGCTTCAGCCGTCGCCTCCCATCTTCTCGCCCTCACAGTTTTTCCTCCTCCTCAATTCCCCTCTGTGACTGCTTGTAGCTTTGCTTATAATTTTGAACTACTGCGCTGCCTGCTTGTTGTATTGATTGTACCCCACTTTGACTATGGGGGTGTGTCAGAATGTGATGTTTGTGTAGCATGCAGTGGGGTACTCTATAGCGAGTACAGCCTGAATTAGGGTTTACTATATATACTCAACTGCATGCTAGTGAAAAAACACCTCTTGTTTCTCGTTTTCGCCTCGACACACCTTGCACTTGAAAGTGACAACAAAATTCTGGTGGTGGCTTTGGCGTTGATGCTGTCACACTTTGCTGCAGCCCGTAGTGCTCTAGGTTGGATACGGTAGCCCATGGTGCTCACGATTTCACCCTGACACTGCCATGACACGGTGCGCATGGCATTCTGATTGCCTGCATTCAAGCGATCATGTGATTTGACCCCTTGCACACACAAGGTGCCTCTACTAGTGGATGAGCGGCCGGATTCCGGAGGAATGCCCTGTATGACTGAACGCTTCTACCTCGTAAGGAGAGGAGACACGTGCGTCAAGCTGATAGCGTCTCGATACAAGCGCAAGGTGGACCTGTTCCGGTCACTCAATGGAGGCTTTGACTGCACTGTGTCGTCGCTGTGGGTGGGCATGCAGCTCTGCCTGCCATAAGCTAAGGTGCTAACGTTTCAGGTTGCTCTGCAAGCAACATAGTGCTCTAAGCAGATTCTTACAAAATACCATGACCTTCAAAACGTATCTGAATCTACTGATGCTCAGTCTGTTTTTAACAGGCAGAATTCTTATATACTAAATGGCTTTGGTATGGAATCCCTTGCCTGAGAATTCAGAAATTTTACCCGGTTTTCAGTGTTCCGGATTTTGTTATGCCGATTTTTACACTCTTTTGATTTTGCAGCTTCGGTTCTTTTGGGGTTCGGGGTTCTGTATCGACTGATGAATACCTTGTAGTACATACCGTCGTCATCGCCCGGATAGTCGACAGTGTTGAATAGCAGACATGAGTTGTGTATAATAAGGGCGACGTCAGGTTGTACAACTTTTTGTACACCCTCTCCGGTAAACTTCGTTTCAACACGGTGAAGAGCGGTAATTGTCAAGAACCGCTTTTCACCGTGTTAGACCGTCCTGAACCACGATACGGAACTGTAAGCACGTGTGAAGTGTATAACCTGGCGTCAACCTAATCAGGCTATCCTCATTATAAGACACCTATTTGTGTGCATGAGACTAGCCAGTGTAAGGATTAGGGGCAATTGTATAACGAGGGGGTATCTTCTAAACGATTCTTTGTCCATTTATAAGACTTATAAGACACCTCCCCAAATACAAGATAACCCAAGCATTTTTTCTAGTGTACGAGATAATAAGACATATATGTCTTACATCCGAGCGATGTCTTAGGTCACCGCACCCTACCGTTAAGTCGGATACTCGACAAGAAACAAACCCATACCCTAAACCCCGTATATAAGACCCTAGGGTCTTATGATAATCACCCCTCAACAAGTTGGGGGGTATAACTAAATGATATACAAGTTATAAGACTCGGGTCTTTTCCATTTTAAGCAGCTAACTCTTTTCTCAGAGGTCGACAGCCGCAACATCATCCACCTCTAAACCATACATTCTGTCCACGCCATGAGCGTCCACCCGGTTGTAACTGTTGAGCAGCTGCGGGCAATCCCTCACCCCCAAGTAGTGCAGCATCCTCAGCTCTGTCACCTCCTCCGGCAGGCCTTCTAGATTCTCACAACCGTTCAGATTCAGTCGCCTCAGCCTGGACAGTCGAGCCAATCCGGAAGGGAGGGAGAAAAGGCAAGTATCCCCAGCATTCAGCTCCTGCAGACATGTGAGCTAGGTGAGGGAATCAGGCAGCTCTTCTCAACGATGACTTATGAACTACCAACCCCCGCAGCTGTGGTAAACACGATCCGATGTGCTCTGGAAGCCATCTCAGCTTGGGGGGTTCCAGAATCAGCAGTGTGAGGAGGTGCGGGAGGTGTGGAAAGGGCGAGGGGAGATCCTCAGCTTCTCGTTCCAGTTGCAGCTGCAGCCGCCTTAGTCGACATGCACTGGTGATCGCAGCCTGGTTGCTTCCAGCATCAACTCCACTGAGCTCCAGGCTCCTCAGATGCGGCAGGTGGGGCATGCTGGAGGCAGGAGCGTGCTGCTTGTACATCGGCATGGCTAAGAATTCTAGAGACGGAAGTAGCGCTCGTGCCCCTGTCCACGGACGCGGGCTGGGCCCCACACGTCCATGTGAAGCGTTTGCAGCGGGGCCTCTGTCGGAGGAAACTGGGAGGAGTGAGGGGCAGCCCGCTGGCGCCCCTCGACACAGGGGACACAGGTAGGGCCAGGCCCCTGAGGAAGGGGAGGGAGGGACCGTGGAAGAGTCCAGCAGTGTCAGCCGTGGCAAAGACCAAGTCGTCGACGTACACGAGGATGTAGAACGGCGGTAGAGAGGTGTCGGTGCGTAGAAACAGCGACGGGTCAACAGTGGAGGGAGCAAACCCAAGAGCCGCAAGTGTAGTCCTCAGTGTGTCGTGCCACTCACGCGGTGCCTGGCGAAGACCCTAGACCGGCCGCCGAAGGCTCCACTGGGTGCCAGGAGGAAAAGTCCCAGTGAAGCCAAGAGGGCGGCGCAGCCAGATCTCCTCGTGCAGGCTGCCATGCAGGAAAGCAGTGCTGAAGTCAAGAGAGTGTAGCTCGTAGTCACGGTGAGCAGCTACGTGCAGCAGTAGCCGAAGAGTGGTCATCTTCGGGGTGGGAGAGAAGGTCTGAAAGTAGTCAACTCCCTGCCACTGATTGAAGCCACGAGCCACGTAACGCGCCTTGAAGACAGGCGGAGAACCCGGCGGTCGCTTCACCATGAAAATCCACATGCCACTGACGATGTTCGCCCCAGGATTGGGGACAGCGTCAACGTAGGTGCCTGTGGACTTCCAGGAAGCCATCTCTGCATCCATAGCTGCCTGCCACTGAGAAGAGTAGGGACCCTCTATCGCCTCCGCGTAAGAGCGCGGAGTCGGGATGTCAAGTGCATCCGAGTCTCCCTCAGGGGTAAGCAGTACGGACACGAGATGAGGTGAAGCAACGGCCAAGCACTCGAACTCCTCCTGCCTGTCCTCAAGGACGTCCGTGCCAAGGGCACACTCACCCCCGACGGACGGAGGACAGACAGACTCAGACTCAGCGACAAGACTAGCAGCGTAGTCTAGGCGACAGCGAGCAGCAAAGTCGACGAGCTCAGCAACTAGGGCAGACGCAACAGTGGACTCAAAGGAAGGGTCAGTGATGACAGTAGCAAGGAGACGCGTGACAGTAGGAGTGGCAGCACGAAGGGAGTTAGACCCCGGGTTAGCAACAGCAGGAAGAGAGGACGCAGGAGGAGACGGCAGTGGGACACGCTGTGGAGCAGTGGAAGGACAAAGCGCCATCCGGTGTGTGCCCGGGACAGCAGGAAGACGCTGACTAGGGACACGACAACCAGGGAGAGCAGCACGGACAGGCAACGCACGGCGAGACTCAGGCGACGCAGGACGAGACTTAGGCTCACGACGCTCAGTAAGACCTCCAGTCGGACGAGTGTAAGGCGCAGGACCAGGGAGAGAGGAGGCAGACAGAGGACACCCTAAGGAGGGAGGAGGACAAGGAGGAGGAAGCTGACCAAGAACCTGCTGAAGGAGCGGAACGAAGTGCGGCCGCTGCCGTGCAGCGACTCCAGAACCAGCAGAGACACCAGCGCCAGGGTCCTCAGTACCAGCAGCAGCTCCAACGCCCGGGTCCTCAGCACCAGCAGCAGCTCCAGCACCCGACTCCACAGCACCAGCAGCAGCACCAGCGCCAGGGTCCGCAGCACCAGCAGCAGCTCCAACGCCCGGGTCCTCAGTACCAGCAGCAGCACCAACGGCCGGGTCCGCAGCACCAGCAGCAGCTCCAACGCCCGGGTCCGCAGCACCAGCAGCAGCTCCAACGCCCGGGTCCGCAGCACCAGCAGCAGCTCCAACGCCCGGGTCCGCAGCACCAGCAGTAGCTCCAACGCCCGGGCCCGCAGCACCAGCAGCAGCTCCAACGCCCGGGTCCGCAGCACCAGCAGCAGCTCCAACGCCCGGGTCCGCAGCACCAGCAGCAGCTCCAGTAGCAGCGGGGTCAGTTACACCAGGCGCGCCACTCCGAAGCGTGCAGCGCCACTCGTACCACTTACGGATCCGCTCACGGGAGGGGAGCTTCCGACTAGGAAGAGAAGCACCAGCACCAATCCCTGTAGTACGCCTGGCTCCAGAGGTACGTCTCCGGAGGCTGCAGTTGCCACTCACGCAGCTGCTCCGAGGAGAGGCCTCCTCCAGGTGTAGGACTCTCAGTCCCAGCACCTCCAGACTCAGAACCCCCTGACTCCGGACGCTGCGGCTCAGCACCCCCAGGCTCAGCACCCCCAGGCTCAGCACCCGTAGGCTCACCACTGTGAAGAAAGGAACGTGAATCAAATGACTATGAATGAAGTGAGTACAAATAGGAAACCCTAGCTGGGTTGTACCCCCTATGGGATACCCCACTATAGCCTACACAAATAAGTAAGCTATAATATTTTGACACACCCCCATAGGCAAAGTGGGGGAGAACAAGGGGTCACAAGACCAGTCAAACAAAGCAAAGCAAAGCTCAGGGTGGATCACAAAGTCACCACACATTCCCAGCACAAGTTCAAGGGCCACAAGGCCAGTTCACATGCAAGACCATATATAGAGATATACAAGAGTCAAGCAAGCAAGAGCAAGAGCATATATAGGTCAAGGTACAAGCAAGGTCAAGAAGTGAGCAAGTGAGGCAAGACAGGCACAAGGCCCAGCTGCGTGCAGCAACGCTGATTATCACAAGGCGCAAGTGCCTTGGTGAAGACATCAGCAGTGTTGGCCTCAGAGGCCACGTACGCAAGTCGCAACTGTCCACGCTGCTGTAGCTCACGAGCAAGAAAGTAGCGGAGAGCAATGTGCTTTGTCCTGTGCTCCAGTCGCTGCTCTCGACACAAGGCCAGCATGGCCTTGTTGTCTACGTACAGGACTAGAGGAGAACGAGGCGGCTCTCCAAGGTCGGTCAACAGGTAGGTGAGCCAGCGTAACTCCTGTGCAGCCATAGCCCCGGCGTAGATCTCAGCCTCACAACTGGAGCCGAGAACAGAAGACGAGCGGGTAGCCCGCCACGAAACAGAGCCGGAACCAAGGCTGAAGGTGTAACCCTGTGACGACCGCTGCGTAGCCTGGTCGTCAGCCCAAGAAGCGTCCGCGTGCCCAGTGAGGACCACTGGACTGCGCCCTCCAAGCACTAGCCCCATGCCCGACGTACTGCACAAGTAGCGCAACACCCTCTTCGCTGCAGCCATGTGCTCTGGTCGGTGTCTCCCAGGAGCAACATAGCGTGCGAGAATGCTAAGAGGGTATGCAAGGTCAGGTCGTGTGCAGGTCATCAGGTACATGAGGCAGCCAACAAGCTCTGCATACGGGCCACTCGACTCTACGGACTCATCCGAAGGCAGAGCTGAGAGCGAGTGGCGAGTAGGCAGAGGAGTGGCCTGAGGCGAGGAGTACGTGAAGCCGAAGCGCTGAAGGACCTGCTGCAACATGTGTGACTGAGTCAGGGTAATGGTGCGGCGT